TTTCTTTCTTAAAATGGTAAATTTTCCTCAACAATTTAAACATCGGATGTTTTTCCCAGTTATTTATGGGAGAGAAGACCTTAGAGCAGCTTGAGGGAAATTGTTTAGCTTCATTTCTTTTATTATGAAAAATATTTGTATATATGAAAAGTAAGATGATGTAATAATGCCACAGCGGCGGTGGAGAGGAGGTAAATTATTTTTTGAGTGATGACAACAAAAACATGGCTCCAAGTAGCCATGATGACCTAACGGCTCTGAACAACAACCACAGCGACACAGAGCCCATCAAACCCAGATTAGTCTCAGTGTTTTACGAGCCTGTTTGTCTGCACGTCTGGGCTCTGCCGAGCATCTATTTGTTTAACTCTGCGGTGAGAACAACTCTGACTCCTGACTTCCTGCAAACAGCATTACATAAAGCGCCTTCGAGCTGTGAATCAGTCGGGCTGAGATGGATCGGAGGCGCTGGATGAGAGAAGAGGGAAGAAACAGGGAGACAGGAACTGGGCAGAGCAGTGGAAGGACTGAGACAGAAACAAAGACATTAAAGTGCAGCTTCCCTCCGCAGGGGAAGCAGCCTGGAAAAATAATTGTCGAGAGGAGACAGAGGAAAGCCACTAATGACAGCAGACAATAACAACTGGCCGCTGCTGCAGCGTCTTCCCAGCCAGAATGACAATAAGGGAGGAGCTGGCAGACCCGCTGTCAGCGATGTCCACGAAGGGATTGAACGGCCTCAACCGCAGCACCTGAATAGATCCTCGTCTGGGAATAGACTGTTATTAAGTCGTCTAAACACAGGGTCAATAACACCGCCGCGGCACCTCCGAGACACTGGGAGATGGCACGGGTGCCGGCTAATTGGGTGGTCAGGATTATTTTGATGAGCAGTGAATAAAAGTGCGTAAGAGTCAGAATTATACGCTGCACGTGCGCAGCCAGCAAACACACATTTAGTTGCGCGCTCGACTTTGGACTAAACAGCAATGATCCAAACGCTCGGCACAAAGAGACAAACGAAGCCAAATGATTTCAACTTTTTTATTACTAAATGTTTCTAATTCAGCAGTTTGTGTCCGCAGGTCATCCTAAAAGTCGCAAAGTGAATAAAACGGTACAAAAAAGCATCAGTTTTGCTGTGTGCTACAAACGTCATTAGACAGCTTTCACTAAACAGAAGTTCACAACAAAGACGCATTCTGGACATTCATTTTCCCTTTCAAGTATGCTACTATCCAAAGTGACTAGTGTAAGGTTGGCAGAGGACATAAAATAAGTATTTACACATTACAGGTCCAACAAATGTGTCAAAGCAAAACAACAAATGCATTAAAAATGTTTCCACAGCGTCCACGGGCACGCCACTGACCGGCCTCCACAAAACAGAAACGAGACTACAGCGAAGCAACATTTAAGACTCGAGTTGATCCACAAGGCAGCCTTCATCTCCCCGTTGAGGTTTCATTAAAGTCTGGAGCTGCACTCGAACACGAGCTGGAAACAGAAATACAGACCGAAGGAAACGTCCCGAAAAGTGTGACGAAGCTTAAGTGGCTTTTTCAGCTGAGATGATCTTCATGATCTCAGCTGTTAAGTAACCACCAGAGGAAGCTGGCTGATGAACCTGTGAACTCGTGAGCGTCAGTCCATAAATACAGGAAACTCACACACTACATATCAGGTGAATAAAAATGTAAATAAGCCAATAATCATTTGTGACTAAAGCGATATTTGAGATGAGGCGGCAGCTCAGGCGGTAGAGCGGGTGATCTACTGATCGGAAGGTTGGTGGTTCGATTCCTGCTTTACTCCAATGCATCCATCAAAGTGTGAATGTTAGTGAGAAAGCACGACACAGAGCCCCGTCAGCTGAACGCCTCTTTGGTTTAACCAACTGAAAC